CCCCCCCCCCCCCCCCCCCCAGTCATACTACCCCCCAAATCAATACACCAGCACCATATCCAAGATGCAATTGTAGGACCTGCAGCCAGTGTGGCCTCCTGCCCACTGAGGCCTGTGTCTGGTACCTTAGGTGGGTGTGGCAGAAAGAGTCTAATCTTCGGGTTTGAGGGCGTTGATGACTATAAAACTACGCTGAACTAAAATAATCTTGCCTTTAAGTAAAAGGTGATTAAATATTTATAAGAAAAAGTGTTTAAGATATCTTTAATGAGAGTTAAATAGCTCACAGTCTTAGCCTTTTATTTTCATTTAGGCAGTTAAGATTATTAACTTGCTCAAGGGTACAACAGTGTTACTTCTCTCACACGAAAGCACTTGGGTCATAACTCCAGCTATTGCATTCCCTGCTGCCCATTAAAATGTACACAACTGAGAAACCAATGGATGTAAAATGATAATACAAAACGAGAGGTGTAAATAGGCTCTTAAAAGTGTTCGGTTTATGACAAAAAAACCCATTTAACATATATCTTTACAACCCAATTCATCTTTAAAACAGCGCTAACTATTTTGGCAGGTCTTAAGATTTTCTCAGAGGGCAACTGTAACCAAAAAGAAAAAAAAATCACGACATATATTTCTTCTTTTTTTTTTAATTTTGTTTAACATATGAACAAGTATACACTAAAGAGGAACCACTCAGCCAGGATTTGGGGAAAAAAAATGAAAAATCTACAAATCAGAACAATCTAAATACAATGACATATAACATATAATGGTTGCACTGACCAATCATAGAAAATAAGATAAGTAATGATCAGGACACATATGCAGTCGTGACATGTTACAGTGCGTCCGTCATAGGCGGCCAGGGTACAGTAAGCGCTTTACGGTGTCGTCCTGTAGAGTGCAGTAGATAGTTTGATTAAATTCTTTTATACAGGCCTCTAGCTGTACGCGCCCACATACTGTACATAGGCGATGGGAGGGAGGGAGGAGCGTTCGTAGTATTTTGTTGATTTCCATTTCCCTGTCGTGGCAGGCGAAGAACACGGCCGGAGAGCATTTTTATTTTTCCCAGAGATATAGAATAAAGCCGCATGGTGTGCGACTCGCCTAAAACGCCATCGCGAAGCATTAATTTGACTGCAAGTCGCGGCCGGCGGAGGATTTTCGCTCGAATATACCTTACTGTGCAGTGTACGTAACTATTGCGCTTAGCGTGGATACGGCCGCTGCCTGGACTTTTTGCCCTTCTTTCTGTTTTTTTTTTTTTATCGCCTTTAATTGCGATAAAAAAGCAGCAGATCGCGGCGATCGCGGACGCAGGGACCGCACGGTGAGTGCCGCTGCAAAGTACGTACTTTGGACATATCTATCTCAGCGGGGGCATTCTGCGTTTTGTGTGCTGGGATCTGTCCGAGGAAAGCGCCGCCAGTTTGCATCAGATAGCTAAGTGGTTTTGACAGATCCAGTGCGCTACATTGTGACATTAGTTTTGGATCGGCTGCGACACAGCCCGTATGCGGCGTTACTTTTGCATTCTGGCCATGTTCATGCACCGATATTTATAATTTTCTGAATTATTGACCTACATTTAGCGGCGTTTTTAGCCAGGATCATAAAATGTAGAATCACGCCGTGTCGCCCAGTTTTGAGCTAGTGAGCGAACTATTTGCACGAATGTGCATTAAGTAAGGATATATTTCTGCACTTCTTTCTGTATACTGTCTGCTTAACGAAAATGTGTTTTTGGTTTGCGCAGTTACTGTAAAGATTCCTTTTCAATGACATATTCTCCCTGTAGCTTTCACTGCTGAGTTTGTAAACATCGTAAAAATTTTCTGCTGCATCCGGACGGGCCACTGTAAAATGCCTGCGTCCACCATAACTGAATTACCAATTAGAAATGTAACTAATGCATCTATTAACGTTGATCCCACACTCTGGTTTTTATATATTAATCCAGAAATCGTAGTCATCTGTGTAAAATGTAATAAGGGAGGAATGGTTGTGCAAAAATTATTTGGGGGTCTGCAGCAGAGTTTCGTAATTCGCTGTTTTTAGTTTTAATTCCCATGCGTATTGCTCTGCAGAAAGCCATGATTGCACAGTTAAACAATAACATTGCTCAATTGATACTCTGATGCACAATATTTTCTAAATTATTCAGGAAGGGGAGTGCATTTGGAAAATTGCGTGCTCGTTTGTCCTGGTTTGTGTACATTTAATTCAATAGGCTGCACTAGAGAAAGTTTATATCGGGTCTCCCGCTTTCTGTAGGTGGGGAGACGAAGCTGAACAGGTGCGTCCCGTTAGCTTTCCTGAAACGCTTCATACTTGTGCCTCGACAACAGATTTATGAACGAAATCTTGGGCCCATTTTATATGCCCAGCCAACATTATTATCTCCTTCTCGTATGAAAACAGTTGAATGAATGTTTTGTTAAAATATTAAAATATGTAAATGGCATGAAGGCTGTAGTTTGGCATTTGATGTGTACGTGGTTATTTGTAAATGATTATTAAATGCAAACAGTAGTTTTCAAAACATCACTGCAGGAATAAACAACAAACAGATCTCTTGTTCCAGATTGTAGTTTACAACTGATATCTGAATGAGCTCATGGAAAATCAATTTCAGGAGCTGCTTAAAAATCAGCCGGTCTCTTCCTTAATCATTATCTGCTATTTTGTTGCTTAACGCTGTATGGCCTATACTTTTTGTTTATAACTTAGTCTTGTTATTGGTTATGAGTTAGCAGCTCAGAGTATCCCTTGAGTTAGGGAATCCCCTGGTGCATAATATGAATGAAGCTGGTAGAAGCGGAGGGTAACTTGGTGTAAAAGAGCCTCTTGTCATTAGTGGACTAATGAGCAGCTGAATGAATGGGACACAAAGGGTGCCGTTGTCATCAGCGGCGTTTGTGTCCTCGATACCGCCGTGGGAGGTAGCCCGGTGCGCTCTCCTCGCTTTGGCCGGACCCACGTCCGCTTCTGCCAAGTTTTTGGAATGGCTGAACTCCTTTGGAAGGAAACCGGTGCCATTCTCTGGCTTTTTCTCCTGGTCCCTCCCTGCCGTCCTGCCCTGGGATTGCAGCATGGCTTGACGTTTGAAGAATGCGAGTTTGGTTATATAACCTGGCAATGCAGCTGATGTCTTGCTCCGAATTCACTGTATTATGATGTCACAGGCTGGAAGGAGCAGGCCTGATATTTAACCCTGCATCATCCCTGCATGACTGTGGGGGACACTTTGCACTGTAAGTCTTGGGTGGTCCTCACTCTGTGTTTTATGAATGACTTTTCCTTGAGCTTACCACTGCAAAAATTAATACACTTTTGCTACAAACAGCAATTCAGTTCTGCCTGTTAAATAAGTAAGGGAAAAGTGATACCAACAAAATATTACATTTGCATTAGTTTAAGCAGCCAGTACTTTTATCTGAAGTGCTGTATCACTCTGCAGGTGTGAGACAGTTATTCGTGCAAATAAATAAAAAGCGTATTACACATATACAGAGTACTTGTAAGTGTGGTAAAAATAATAATTAATATTCCCTAATTTGTACTTCACTCTTAGTACAGTAGTTGTGATTCATTTCATTTTTGGTTTTCTGACAGTAATTGAAAAACCGTTTCAGTGGTTGCTTTATATTTCCCTTTTGTTCTTCTTGGGACACTCCCAGTTCATAATAAAAGAACAAGTGGAAAGTGTATACATCAGAAATCCCATTTAAAGAATCATGCGGTTTTAATAAGATTCCCTGCCACATCGGGTGTCTATGTCTTTCGGAAGCGATATGGCTGACATTAAAGGCCTGAGGGCCTACCAAGGGCACCCTGCTAATACGTTAACTGTAGCTGAAGAACTATTAAAAAGCACTTTTCGCAGCTGCTTAAGGAAGTTTTACCTGTTAATTGCAGATTCTGGGAGTGAGGTCATCTGTGCTCAAGCCAAAGTCATTTTCTGTTGCGGCTCATTCAGTTAATTCTTCAATTTTAAGTGGTTTTCAATGAAAAAAAAAACTATTTTGACAATTGACTTTAATATTATTTTCACCTCACATAAAAAAAAAAAACTACTTTTTGCTTGATGTTTTTGCTTTAATGTATCTGGAATGTATGACATCATTTATTAACATATAGCTTAATGCTGGAATTCAATGGGTTCCCTTAGAACACGTTCTTTAGATGAAATGGAGCATATTAAAATAAGCAGTCAGTCAGACGGTAAGGCAGTGGTGCTGGTTTGCATGCCATTCTGCTGAACAACGCTGTATTTATCGCCAGCCGTTTGATCCCCTCATCTCCAGCGACCTGCTCTCTTAAAGATAACACAACTGCTTTCACACAGACCTTTCTCTCATGCCACACTCTGCAACTTTCCCATAATGGGTTTCTGCAGCCCCACAAGTGCTGTATGCTTCTCTATCCATCTTGGATATCCGTAGTTAGGCTTGTGGTTTTTCTACCCAGATTGTTCTCAGCACCTGTCTTCAGCTGTGATCAGAGCTGCTGAGAGCCAACGTTGGTCCTTTAAGCTGGAATCAAGGTCAAAAAGCATAAAAAAAAAAAATCTATTTTTGTCTGTGTATGAACACAGACAAGGCAGGACTTTGCCTGTTCAGGTCCTCCTTATTCATGCAAAAACATCTAATAGCGCTGTCCTGCACACAGGGGATTTTCCCTAATGGTCTAACGGTTCTGACTGTGCTTGGCGTCCCTAACGTGAATGTTTTCTCCGGGCCTGATGTGCAGCATGTATTGCGGTGCTTGGCGGTTAGGAGCTGTCGTTATGCTCACTGTCAGCATGAAGAGGTGCTCAGGGGATTGTTTATGTGGCAGAGTGAAAACGAATTTGCACCACCAGTTAAATATCATTCATTTACGTTATACCATATACAAAAGTCCCTTTTTTCCCCCCAAATTTTATTGACTGCATAGGTGAAAAGTGAAATCAAACCTGCATTTATTCCAGATGCATCTTCAGTACAGAAGTAAAAATTAAGCGCACTGTCAACTGGAAACAGTTTGTCCTGTGGATTTAAACCTATATTTAGAGCTATTTAAATAAATGCAGGGATCTGCAGCATGACAAGCCTAGGAGTAAAGCTGCATGCAGTTTTAAAAGTAGTGAACTGCAGGCTCTTTTATGCACAATTTTCCGTGATATTTTCAAGTTTTATCTGTCTTTCATTTCACTCATGTATACAGCAAGATCTATAACGGCTTGCCATGATTGATGTAATAATGTCTCTTAGTATATGTTTTACCATCTTGCAGTTTTTACAGTTTATTCAGTAACAAACACACAAATTCACATGTAAATATATCCATTTTTTAACTGAAGCAGTTTCTGGATATCTGCCCTGGTCGATAGATTTTTTTGGATTCAAGAGCAGAGATGCTGGTGGGAGTTAAACAGAAACTGCTGAAGTTTACTGTAATTTTCAATTCCCCAGTAAAAAAAAAAAGAAAAAGAAAAGTTGTATTACAAACCGTTTGACGTGTAAAACATTTTTATTTGGCATTCCTAAATTGTTATTGTTTGTTTAAGCTGTTTGAGGAAACACATGGCCTCGTGACACATTTTAGGAAATTGTTGGACGAATTTCAGGATTGTGAAAGATCCCAGTTTTTTTTTTCTTTGAGCCAGCCCTTAACATTACCACAGACTGTTTTTTAAGACGATGGCTGAAGTTTCAAGGGTAAAAGACGTGCACGTTGGCTGGGCTTGCATGAAATCGAACAGCGTTGCATAAGAATATTTTGACGACCTGAATCAGTCCAAAACAGGAGTGGAAGAACATGACGCAGTTTGTAGACAGTGTGGTTATGCTAATTCTGGTGGGGAAATGGTCACTGTACTTCTGAAAGCCTTAAAGATTCCCTGAATAGCACATTCCTCTGCTGGTGTGTTCCTACTTCAGGCACTCATTGACAAACTCAAAGGTGGTCACCACCGTGAAGTAACAAGTAAGGACCTGTTTGCATCTGAGGTGCTAATTCATAGCAGTGGTTGTACACCTGCTTCACCTGCACAATTACTCAAGTGAGTGGTTGATTCAACGTTAGAAATTTCAGTTCAAATTTGAACAAATGGAGTACAAGAAAAAAAATAACGATCTGCTTTGAATCAATGCAGCACGTTGATAAAGCTTGATATTTTAAGTCTAATTATCACATCCAAAATATAGACTGACAATTAAATGTTAATTAAGCATTAGGGGGCTGCATGCTGATATGGCTTCTAATTCTGAAGGACAACGAGATGCTTTACATTGGTGGGCAATCTAAAGTATCCATGGCCCTCATGCTAGCCTGCTGCTCCAAGAAATCCCGCCACCGTTGGC